AGTAATGATACTGTTTGATAATTTCCGCATTCGGTTGAATCACCTTTCTTGGGAATAGGCATAAATATGGATGTCTTCCAGTCAGTTGGCTAGGTAGCTGTCTTCCAAATTTCTTGGCATAGACGAGTGAGCACTTTCAGCACTGCATCCATTTGTTTAAACATCTCAATTGATATTCTGTCAATTCCTGGAGCCTTGTTTTTTGCCAGTGCCTTTAGTGCAGCTTGGACTTCTACCTTCAGTACCATCAGTTTCTGATCATATGCTACCTCTTGAAATGGTTGAATGTTGACCATTTCTTTTTGGTATAATGATTCTGTGTATTCCCTCCATCTTCTTTTGATGCTTCCTGCATCTTTTAATATTTTCCCCCATAGAATGCTTCACTATTGCAACTCGAGGCTTGAATTTTTTCTTCAGTTCTTTAAGCTTGAGAAATGCCAAGCGTGTTCTTCTCTTTTGGTTTTCTGTCAGTTGATCGGTAGTTGGTAAATATGGCCTTGGTGATAGAAACGATGCTGGAGATCTCATGATAGAATTTTGCAAGACCAACGACTTCTTCATTGCAAAGTTTTTTTTTCACCAACACAAACGGCGACTATACACATGGATCTTGCCAGATGAAATACACAGGATTCAAATCGACAACATCTGTGGAAAGAGACGATGGAAAAGCTTAATATCATCAGTCAGAACAAGGCCCGGGCCGACTGTGCAACAGACCATCAATTGCTTATATTCAAGTTTAAGCTGAAACTGAAGAAAATTAGAACAAGTCCACAAGAGGCAAAATATGACCTTGAGTATATCCCATATGAATTTAGAGACCATCTCAAGAATAAATTTGACGTGTTGAACACTAATTGGCAAAGACCAGATGAGTTGTCGAACGACATCAAGGACATCATACATGAGGAAAGCAAGAGGTCATTTAAAAGACAGGAAAGAAAGAAAAGACCAAAATGGATGTCAGAAGAGACTCTGAAACTTGCTCTTGAACGTCATGTAGCTAAAGCAAAAGGAAGAAATGATGAAGTAAAAGAACTGAACAGAAGATTTCAAAGGGCAGCTCGAGAAGACAAAGTAAAATATTATAATGACATGTGCAAAGAGCTGGAGATAGAAAACCAAAAGGGAAGAACACAAAACAATATGTGTATAAATTTTTGTTTGAGAAACTAACTTGAGCTTTAAATTTTCACCTAAAGCACAATTTAAAAAAAAAATATGTAGGGTTGCATAGCCGATTAATGTAATTTCTGTCAATAAGTTGAACACCTATAAAAAGTTGAATTGGCAAAAGTTGTGTGATACATATATTTACAAAAACAAATAAAAAAAAAAGTTTAGCGCTTGAGGCTGCTTATGTACAACTAAGCACCTCATGGGATTTGGTTCCTTGGTTTGGAGGTTTAGGGTCATGGTTTCATGGGACATCTCCATTAGTTGGCCTAATATATTGTTTAGTGCTTCTGTTCTATCTCCCAGTTTGTTGTGTAATGCCTGGGGTCTTAAAAGCTTGCAAGAGGCCGTCCAAGGTGCAGCAATTGGTCTCTATTTGCCTGGAGCAACATAGGAAGAAGGAGAGTCAGAAATAGGAGGAGAAAATAGAATGTGTGGCTAATTGCCTCCATGAACAACTGCCTCCTTTGCCATAAGACCAGAAGAACTGGATTGTGCCTGGCTACCATTACTGAACATTTTGATCAAAGATTCTAGGGAAGAATTCTGATCAAAAGGGGGAAATTCTGAACAGAATTTCAAATCCTCATGGACTCCAGTCTTTCTGGAGCCATGGAGGCTGGATGAACCTCTGAAACTACTGCCCTGAGATACTCTTTAAACCATAAACCAAAAATATCCCTGAAGCCTTCTTAAAACAAACAATAGTTTAGCTTAACTAATAATGAATGTTTGCCTTGAGGATTATGCTCTTTTAAGATTTACCTATATGATAATGGTCTGACTGAGACTGGAGGAGCCCCAGAAAGCATGGCCCCCGGACTCTGTCAACCGAGAACTAAAACCATTCCCGAGGCCAACTCTTCAAAGATTAGACTGGACTATGGAACATAAAATGATACTCATGAAGAGTGTGCTTCTTAGCTCAATTAGACACATTAGACTAAATGGGCAGCTTCTGTCCGGAGGTGACATGAGAAGACAGAGAGGGTCAGGAGCTGGTTGAATGGACATGGGGAATCGGATGGAAAGGAGGAGTGTGCTGTCGCAGTATGGGGAGAGCAATTAGGGTCACGTAACAGTGTATGTATAAATTTTTGTATGGAGACTAACTTGAAATGTAAGTTTCATTTAAAAGACAACAATAAAAAAAATTTAAAAAAAAAGATTTACCTATATGGCATCAAATTGACAACAGCAACTGGAAAGATTATATAGGAAACTTAGGGGGCAATGAGTTTATGTTAATAGGGGAGTGTGATGGTTAAGATTGTGTGTTAACTTGGCTGGGCCATGATTCTCAGTATTTATATGTGATCACTCCCATGATTGAATCTACTGTGAGTAGCCAATCAGTTGAAAGGGAGTTTCCTTGGAGGTGTGGCCTGCATTGAAATATAAGCCCACGTCTGGCTTTTTGCTGACTCTGCATTCTGTGGCTGCCTCCTGTTCATCAATCATGGGATTTGTCAATCTTCACAGCCTGTGAGTGGAGCCCTGCTCTCCGGCCTGCTGATCTTGGGTTCACCAGCCTGTGTAGCTACGTGAATCAGAAGCCTTGTGGTCTTGCCTGCCAATCTTGGGATTTGTCGATAGTCACAGCCTGTGATCAAGAGCCCTGCTTTCCAACCTGACGATCTTGGGTTCGCTAGCCCCTGTGGCTACGTGAATAGGGAGAAGCCGCTCTCCTAATCCACGGACTTGGGACTTTCCAGCCTCTACAATTGCGTGAGCTGTTTCTTTGATATAACTCTCTTTCTATACGTATTTATACACCTTAGTGGTTTTTTTTCTCTAGAGAACCCAGCCCACGACTGGGAGGAACAACTCAAAAAAAATGAGAAATGTTACACAACTCTAAGAATGTAATGAGTGTCATTGAATTGTACTTGTAGAAACTATTGAACTGGTGTATGTTATACTGTGTATATTCTCAAAAACAATTTAAAAAATTAATTTAAAAAAATTAGTAAGTGAACCCACAGTCCACTAGTGTTGAAGGCCTACACTGCATTCCACAGTTTGAGGGCAGTATGGGTTTTGCCTTAACTCCTAGGTTTTCATAGGTGAAATGACTGCACCATGCATAAAGAAAGCAAAACCCTTATTGCCTTTCAGGATATGACTTACTTTTAAATTGTATTGTAGTTTTATATATATATATATATATATATATATATACACCAAAAAATTTGTCATTTTTAATCATTTTTAAATGTAGAATTCAGTGACATTAATTACCCTCACCATGTTATGTTAACATCACCACTATCCATATCCATAAGTTTTTCATCATTGTAAATACAAACTGAGTGCCCCTTCAGCGATAATATCCATTCCTCCCCCCGCCCCCAGTCCCTGGTAACCACAAATAACATTCTGTGTATGCATTTGCCTATTCTACATATTTCATGTAAGTGTGATCATACAGTATGCCCATTTGTGTCTAACTTATTTAACTCGTCATGTTTTCAAAGTTTCGTCCATTTGGAGAATGTATCAGAACTTAATTTCTCTTTATGGCTGAATACTATCCCATTGTATGCATATGCCACATTTTGTTTATCTATTCATCCGTTGATGGACACTTGGGTTGTGTCCAGCTTTTGGCTGTTGCAAATAAACTGCAATGAACATTGGTGTTCTGTTTGAGTCCAGCCATGACTTTTCTCCTCTTAATACTCAACAGGTGGTAGGGACTGGTTTATCTTAAAAATGTTAATACTTTTCTGTATTAACATTTCCCTAAAAAGGTTTCCCTAAAAGAGGTGTATTCTGTGCTGCAGTATGTTCCAGAGCAACTTTTTGAGCCAACATTGCTGACTGAACTTTTTTTTATTTTGATGGTTCTATCAGGTATCGCGCTGCACCTCATAACAAGGTACACACCTAGAAGTTTTCTTCCACCTCCATTTCCTAGATAGGATGGAAAGCAGTCCTCTAATAAAGAAATTAGGCAAGACTACACTGTCTGCAATCGCCTCCGTGCCCTTAGTGACGAGTCACTGACTCCGCCTACTCCACAGTTTGACCCTCACAACGCGGCTGCAGTTGCCACACGACCTCCCCAAGATGGCTATCTGCTCACTTTCTTCATCTTCCCGACTTAGGACCGCCTCCATTCGCGTATTTTCACGGCGCCGGGTAAGGGACTCAGAATTGGCTTTTGATTGGTCAATTTGACTGACGACCTTTCCCCTCTGCGACAGTTTCCCGAGGTGCCTAGAGCCTTGGCAGCACAGACGAGAGCTAGAACGAAGGCAGGATGGCGGACGTGCTAGATCTTCATGAGGCTGGGGGCGAAGATTTCGCCATGGATGAGGACGGGGACGGTGAGGACAGCAGAGCCGGCGGCGGGAAGCGGCGGAGGAGCGAGAGAAGGGTGTACTAGGAAAGCATTGTCTCCCTTCTCCCCAACAGGGAGAGTGGGAGCTGAGATTAGAGGCTCTGCCCCCTTTGGGAGGACTGGGAATGGAGACGGTGGGATCCGCATTTTAGATACTGTCTTGGGAAATAGGCAGTTGTTAGAAATGCTTTTGTTTTTGTTACTCATTCTCTTTTCTTTTGTGGCTCCAGAGAGCATCCACAAATTGAAAGAAAAAGCAAAGAAACGGAAAGGCCGCGGCTTTGGCTCCGGTGAGTGTTTGTGGGGAAAATGGGGTGAAGTGGTCTAGGACGGCGGGAGCTACGGGTTCTGGAGACCCCTCCCAGAGTTATGGGGAACGTGGGAGAAGAGGGGAATTCCCGGTAATCTGGTATGTGTTCGTTATAGAAGAGGGATCCCGAGCGCGGATGCGTGAAGATTATGACAGCGTGGAGCAGGATGGCGATGAACCCGGACCACAACGCTGTGAGTGAAATGGGGCCTATGGGGATCTGTCTTTAAGCAGTTAGGACCAATAAAATCGAGTAGGAATGGGGCTTGAAGTTCTTTTTCTTGTCATGTGCTCAAAACTATCTACATCTACTTTTCTCCCTCATCAACAGCTGTTGAAGGCTGGATTCTCTTCGTCACTGGAGTTCACGAGGAAGCCACTGAAGAAGACATCCATGACAAATTCGCAGAATATGGAGAAATAACAAATATCCACCTTAACCTAGATAGGCGTACAGGATACCTCAAGGTATCTGAATCACATTTCATTGCCTCCCTTCTCTCAGACCATTTTGTAAAGCTTTCTGTTTTAGATTTGAGGAAGTGGAGGGTTTCGATATCTTGTTTTTTCACATCCCCTAGGGGTATACTCTAGTGGAGTATGAGACATACAAGGAGGCCCAGGCTGCCATGGAGGGACTCAACGGCCAGGATTTGATGGGACAGCCCATCAGTGTCGACTGGTGTTTTGTTCGGGGTCCGCCCAAGAGCAAGAGGAGGTAAGGTGGAGAGGGGAGTGACTGTCTTGGTAAGGGAATGTGAGCGTAACTGAACAAGGGCTTTGTAGGATGTCACTCTGATAGACTCTCTCCTCCTCTCCTCTAGAGGTGGCCGAAGACGCAGCAGGAGTCCAGACCGGAGGCGGCGCTGACGGGTCCTCTGTTGTCCAAGTGGTCTGTCAAGATTTCATTTGACCATGCAGCCTGGCGAAACTGGGCTAGGGTAGAACTTGCTGTGTTTCTCTCACCCTTTACCTGCCTTATGTTTGTGAATAAATGTCCCAGTTTTGTTTTCTGTATTTAAAATTGCTTTTTTGCACCAACACTGGAAACCCTGAATTACTTTTTACAGGAAGGTAGTAAGGGTCATTGTGAAGATGTTTCTCCCAGGGACTAAATTCCATGTGAGTTTCTACACTGGTCATAGATTAGAGACATTACTAATTTTTTCTCTTGACAGCTAAAAGATTAGGGATAGAAGCGAGATGTGCTTATAGTATTAAAGAACATTCTGTTCATGTATATTCTGTTTAGAGTAAATGGATGTTATAGGAATGTCTCTAGTTTCTCCTTGCCGCTTGTGTGTGCTTCTAGCTGTCTTGGGCATCCTGCCAGGCCTGCCCTCCTGGAGGACTCTCTGCCCAGTCTTGGTGCCCTCTTTAGCAGCCAAATGTGAAGGTCCCATAGGGTGAGAAGATCCAGAGGAGCACTGAGTAGGCCAAAGAGGAAAACGATGTGGCCAAGCCTTGGGGGAGCTTCCGTTTGCACTGTGGGGGAGAACCAGTGCCAAAGACCCCGCAGTGTCTCTTAGCCATGTAGTGCTGCTATAATACCACAGGTGCATGGCTTTAACAAAGAGAAATTTATTTCCTCACAGTAAAGTAGGCTGAAAGTCCAAATTCAGGGTGTCAGCTCCAGAGGAAGTTTTTTTCTTATCAGTCTTCCCCTAATTAGGTGCTTCTCCATGCAAAGACCCTGGGTCCAAAGGGTGCACTCTGCTCCTGGCACTGCTTTCTTGGCAGTATGAGGTTTCCCCCTCTCTCCCTGCTTCCCTTTCCTTTTTTATCTTGAGAGATAAAAGGTGGTGCAGGCCACACCACAGGGAAACTCCTTTTACACTGGATCAGGGATATGACCTGGCTGAGTGTTACAATCCCACCCTAATCCTCTTTAACATAAAATTACAATCACAAAATGACGGACAACCACACAATACTGGGAATCATGGCCCAGCCAAATTGATACATTTGTTAATTGAGTCTTCCTCCAATCCTGATACCCCAGTTCTTCATATGGTCCATCATGTGGTCCAGCTTCTCGGATTATTTGCTCAGCATACACATTAAGTATGGTGAATGGGTACAACCCTGACGCACACCTTTTCTGACTTTAAACCACAGAGTATCCCCTTGTTCTATTCAAATGATTGCCTCTTGGTCTACGTACAGGTTTCTCGTGAGTGCAACTGTTTTGGAATTCCTATTCTGGCAATGTTATCCTTAATTTGTTAAAAGATCCACACAGTTAAATGCCTTTGCATAGTCAATGAGACAGAAATGATACATCACAGAACAATTCTGTTAACTGGCAAAAATAACATACACATCCAAGCTCTAGACATTAAGCCTTCCTCCAGCATCACTTAAAGTTATGGGCCCTGAGATGACTGACGAAGGAATCAAAAGATGGAGAAGTAGTCATGCTGAAATGGATATTCCACTGTAGGGCTGAGAAACCCATCATATGATGCTGTTCCACAGAGCCCAGTGAACAATCTTTTCCAAAGCAATAAGGAATGCACTAGTGAGAACGGAACCAGCATCACTGAAAAACTTGATTCTGGCTGTCCCCTAGGCCAGACTGGAAAATAGGAGATGGCATTATAAATCTGGACTTCCCAAAAACAATGGCAATGATATAATCCAGAAATAAGTCAGGTGGTAGTGCTTAAACATCTCAAGTTTAAGGTGAGGATAATTATAATGAGAGGCAAGATCATAGTGGCAGCCAGCAGGGCTGACCCATAGAGTTAAAAAAAAAAAAAAAAAGGTTACTAGAACAAGGCATCCTTAGGAGGCAAGATAAATAATAGGCCAAAATGGCAAAGTTTAATCTATGCAGTCAAAAGACATCAAGCATGGGTATCAGAAGGCTGAAGGTAGCTATGATTAAAAGAGAAAAAAAAAACAAAAACCATGATCTCTTGCAAAGTTTCCAAATTTAGCTACTTTTCAGACCTGTAACGTAAGGACTCAAAACACAGGGTCCCCAGGAAAGACCCCGTAACTCTATGGCAACTGTATATGGGAGAGATTTCCCCACTTCTTTCACAAAGTGACCTAAAGCCACTTACTTGGCTACTACACACTGGGTATTTCCCTTTCCCTAAACGTTTCTACACTATTGGACACTGTATCCATACTCAGCATCGACTGGCCCACGGAACAGGCGTGGGCGATGCACATCCAGGTTAAAGGCGGAGCAGACATGGCGGGGGTGGGGGCAGGGGCTAGGATCATAAGGTTAGCATGAAGCAGTCAAAGGCCAATGACAGCCCAGAGACACAGCCAGAGAGAAGCAGTGAGGAACGCTGATCTCAGTCTATCTGCCTGCTTCTGACTCCAGCTCTCCTGGATTCTGTCAATGTCATGTAGTCAGAACTCAAGCACAGATGATCTCCTTCCTGTGCTTGGGTCCAGATGTCTAACCTGTGGCCCTCAGCCATGCTGATGCACAGCTGTGTCTCCACTCCAGCCCTGAAATCTCATTCACACACATCTGGAGGGTCAACTTACTCTTTTCCACATCATTCCTCCTACACATCCTCCTTCCGAAACTGACGGTCCAAGGAGGGAAGGGCCTTTCTGTAGCCCCAGCATAATCATTCCTTTCAATTTCTCCCAAAACAGGGCCACAGGGAGAACAAGAGGGGGCTAGGGACCACCGTCTGTCTGAGTCTCTCCTCTTCCCATCTCTTCTTGACTTCCAGTGCCATTGTCACACTCTCTCTTTCTCCAATGTTTAGATCTCTGGTTGATCCAAGCCCTGGACACTTCAGTGGTAATTAAGTGGGTGGGGCCACTCGCCTGCCCACACACATGGTTTGCCATCCATCCTTGCCAAGGGTCCCACCACCCCAAAGTTCCCCACAACCCTCTTCCTTTCTAACTCACCCACCCTCCCAACTGCTCCTCTGCCTACCTCCATGGCTTCCCCAGTCTGTGGTCCCTCTAAAAGACCCCATCATGTCCTGGCTGATTCTTCCCTCCCTGCCCTAACCCTTTTAAACTCAGAGCTGGTATTTTAGGAAAAAGATTACAAACCACTGGTGAGAGAAAAATGCAGGCCTCTTGTCCCTCCTAGGGTTCCTCCCCCTACTGTCTTACTCCTTCCTTTCAAGCACCTCTTTCTCAGACCACCACCATCACCAAGACTGGCTATAGCTTTATCCCAAGCCATATCCATTTTCAAAAGAATGTTCTGTATGAGACATTTTTGCATCCAGGATACTGGCAAGGGCTATATGACCAGAACTATAGCTCACTGGTTAAACAAGCTCAGAGTTCTGTCCACACTGGTTAGTAAATCATGCCTCAGGCCCCCTGGACCACCGAAAAACAAACCATCGCCATGGAGTTGATTCCAACTCACAGTGACCCTGTAGAACAGAGTAGAACTGCCCCACAGCGTTCCCAAGGCTGTAGATCTTAATGGAAGTAGACTCCCACATCCTCCCGTGGAGAGGCTGGTGGGTTCAAACCACCAAACTTTTGGTTAGCGGCTGAGCACTTAACCACTGTGCCACCAGAGCTCCTTGGAAGGGGGAAAAAATAGGGGAAAGGCAGGAGACAACAGAAATCAGACTAGCTGCATGTAAGGTCTTTTCCATTTCTTTATTCCTCCAGGGCTTAGAAGCAAAGTTTTAAGTAACTGGACTTATCCAAGAATCTAGACAGCCTCAGACCCCTGCCAAAACAATCAAACGTGTGGGCATAAGAGCCCAAGGCTATATGTGTGCAAACACACACACACAGTCTATAAAAATAATCCTTAACCTCCCACCCTAACTCCCAAAGAATTTCAACCCTAAAGGTCCCAATGCCAAACAATTTCATACATCTTTCACTCCCATCAGAAACCAAGAAGTTAAGCTCCCTCATTGGTCAGGAACACTAGGAGCAAGAACAGATGAGGGATGAGGGGGAGCTCCATGCCTGGATGTTCTTCTGTCCGCAGAAGTCTCTTGTGCCTCTGTCCTTCTCCTTTTCTATTTTCTTTACTTTCCCTCCCATCCTACCCCCTCCTACTGGTGGCTAAAAATAAAGTTGGAAGGAATGGGAGGAGTGATGGTAGAGAACTGTGGGGAGCCCCAGACCAAGGGAAGGAGGACTCAGTGGTTTCAGTGTACTGTAGTCCCCTCTTATCTGTGAGGGATACGTTCCAAGACCCCCAGTGGATGCCTGAAACTGTAGATCGTACCGAAATCTTTACGTACTATGTTTTTTCCTATACGTATGTACCTATGATAAAGTTTAATTTATAAATTAAGCACAGTAAGAAATTAACAACACTAATAAATAAAATAGAAACACTTTATGGTTTCTCCTTGGCATATTCAAATTGCCAGCATCATTACTCTTGAGCTTTGGGGCATTAAGTAAAACAAGGGTTACTTGAACACAAGCACTGTGAAGGAGAAAGTGAACTGAAAATAAGGGGGGACTACTGTATTTCTTTGCCTTAGTGCTGCCCCCTGGAGGCCTCATCTCAAAATACAGAGAGAACACATTTCTTGACCACTTCTGCTGTTTCTTTTCACTTTTTTAAATTTTTTGTTGTTCCCAGTTCAATACTGATTTACTCAGGTTTGGAACAGAAGGTATGAGTAAGAGATAAGAGTCTTTTTATTTCATAACCTTATTTATCCCAACCTGCGATATGGAAAATGAAAGCGTTGATAACAGTGATATCACATCCCCACCCACCCAGGGGAGTCCCAACATGTGAAGCCACGGCCACAAACCAAGCCTTGCCAGCCCCATTCCACTTACTTCTGCTTGTGGCACTTAAGTCTATGCTGCCTGGAGGGACTATAGACTGGTGTGGGATGGGTCTGTGGAACCAGATTACTTTACCATTAGACTCCATCTCCTCACCTGAGCTATGAAGTCCTTGAAGTTGCATCCGTGGAGCTTCTTAGTATTTTGTATCTCTACCATCTTACACGATGTCCTGCACATGGTAGGTACTAAAATTCTGTGGATGAAAAAAATGTTGAAACGACAAATGTTTTGATACACAAACACATATACAAACACACATGTAGCACACCCAAAAAAAAAATCTGTGGATGATCATGCTAGTGGCCAATGGAAAACCCAAACCATGGTGACAAAAACAGGAGTCTCAGATAACCAGAACACAACGGATCAGACCAAACGTGGATGAGCAAACTGATCTTTAATTTGCTGGCCTGGAAGGCTTGCTCTCCATCTTGGGCACGGGCCACAGCTATTTAGATTCACTGCACAGTATTTACAGCAAGATGCCAGAGACATCATTCTGAGTAGACAAAGAGGAGGTAAGAAGAAACTGGGAACAAATCTCTGAAACGGAAGTGCAAGCACAAATCTGTAGCTGTGATTCAAGGGAAGGATAAGGGGCAAGTCATGAGGGAGTTTGATGAGGCAGACATGAGGGAGGAAGCGGAAGTATCAAACAACCCTTGGAGCAGAGATTGGGGGAGAGTGCTCTGGGACATAAAGTCTCAAAATTATGATGGGGGGGGTAGGTGAGAATCTACCACAAGCCACCTCTGCGAGGAAAAGAACACAGTTCAGAGCAAAACTTCTATCACCCCTTCTTCTCCCCAAAAGGTAATGCTGCTGCTGATTAAATTCCTAGAACAGGGGACTGAGAAGATAAAGAGATACATACAGACAGAATCTTAAAAAATGTAAGAAGAACAAAGTAAAAAGAATCAAGGGAGACAAAGACAATGTAATAAAGGAGGAAAAGAACAAAAGCTCAGGCAGATTTGGACATCAGATTCATCCTATTGACTTTAAGAGTCACCTTTCCTCTCCTCACCTCATCATTCCCAAAGCTTCTCCCTCCACCACAAATCTCTGGATCTGAACTTCAACCAAGGACAGAGTTAGAACAAGGCTGGTACATCAGGGGCGATCTAAGATGCCATCTCACCAATTCAGGTCCCCTCCTTATCCTGCACCAGAATGTCACAGCTTGAGTCATAGCCAAGGATAGATTAGGGTGAAAATAGGCACAAGGCCCCAAAGCCCCACAATACTGGGGCCACAGAACCAGAGGCCTAGTTTGTCCAGTGGAATAAAGGAATCACAAGCATTTCTGACCACATCCAGCAGAAGCAGGGGATGACCTTGAAGGACCCAAGTAGGATTTGCAGCCAAAGCTTCAGAGTCAGCTGGGGCAGGCCTCCTCCTGGAATCCCTGGTTCCCCAGGACCACCAGTTTCAATTCCTTCTGGGGCTCTTCCCCTGGAACCGTTCAGCTGCCGGCTACAAGCTGAAGGCTCTTGTTCCATCAGTAGGTGAATCGCACAGGCATCCCAGATCAAATTCACGATGAGGGAAAACAGATAGTACCTGGGATACACAGGGCACAAGGGTTACTGAGAGCATGTATATTTACTTTGAACACCCCCACTTTAGTGTTCTCTTCCCCCTCAGTGATGGAAGGGATTAAACCTGGAAACACCAGAAATGAATCCTATTGCCCATCATCAGAAATGTTCTGCCACCTTTCTGCAATTAAGGAAGGTCTATGTGTACCTTAGGGTCCTATGAGTAAGAATCGACTTGATGGCAACAGGTTTGGTTTTTTTTATGTGTACCTTAAGATTCTGGCTTAAAATTACTGAGCATTAGCATATCAATACTTCTCTTTTTAGTTTTAAGCATCCTTCTTTTAAGATGCCAGATAGGAAAACAACCTCTGCTAGCACCAACTAGTTTTACGGGAACAATGCCATTAGCAGTCCTCAAAAGACTATTTCTTAACCCTGTTTTGCCCCCATCAAGAGATCTATAATCTCTCTAGGTTGTTCAACAAATAAATATCATTTGTCTTGAACAAATGGGGAAATTGACGACAATGAATTTTATCTGAGCCCTCTGTTAAAGAATTCCCGCACTCTTCTGTCTTCCTTAGAAAGGCCTTTCCTTATCTCAACTTTCCTCTCTCATTCATCCTAACACTTATCTTAGTGCGATAAAGGATTGGGGATAGTTAGAAAGTACTTATTTTTGTAACATGAAGTTTCCAACCATGAGAAGTATTTCAGAGAAAGCTTTTTACAGTACATGCTAAGTCACAAATAAAATGAGGAAAAGGAAATACTGTGACATAGCAGGGTAGATGGAGACGGAAACCACTTATAATAGTCCTCAACTCCACTCTAGCCTTTAGTGTTGTGTACCACCCACCTAGCTAACCCAATCCACTTCAGTGTGCCACCAACGGCAGCTTCAAGGCTCAAAAGTAAGAGATCACCTATAACCTCTTCACCTTACCTTCTGCTGCCTCTTCATGCTGCCATGGCCATCTGCTATAGCCGTATTGTTCTCAGTGTGTATATGCTGCAGACAAGGAAAAGCAACCATGGTGAGATTCCAATCCCAGGCCCTAATCCTCACCCTTAAAGCTGTTGCCTCTAGCCTAATTATCTAGCTCTCTACCTGACAGCTGTCTACCAGTCACTAATCCAAACTGAGATCTCACCATTATCTCCAGCACCTGATGCTACAGATCATTTTACTGAATGCATTTGATTCTGAGTACTCTCTAGTCGTCTGAAGTTAGCTGGGCAAGGATTCAGGATGAAGGTGATCTGTATTTTCCTTTACTCTGTGACACTAAAGCCTGGAGACAGACGTGGGGACTTCATATGTAACACAGCACCGTGATCAAAACTCATTCCTTAGCGTGCTGGCCACAATCCCTGGGGGGAGGGATCATGGAGTACCAGGTTGGGAAGGGGAAGGGGGTTTGCAGCATTTATTTCCAATGGTGGGGGCAGAGCTCCATCTCATTGTCACTGCCCCTCCACTAATTCATTTTATACTCCTTTCAGAAACTAAGTGGCTCTGAACCGAGTATATTTTCTAAATTCCCAGCCCCTGCCGATAGATTTGCACTCCACTGCTCCTTACACAATTGGCCTTGGGTCCGCCTGAGGGCCCTGCAACTGGCCCTCCTTGTCTTGCTGACCTTTGTCCTCTGCTGGACACCTTATTACCTGCTGGGTCTGTGGTAGTGGTTCTCCCCCACCATGCTAACTGAAGTCACCCCCAGCCTCAGCCGCATCCTTTTCCTCTTTGGCCTCCTCAGCACTCCTCTGGATCCTCTATTCTATGGGGCCTCCATGCTTGGCTGCCAAAGGCGGCACCAAGAACCAGGCAGAGTCCTCCAGGGGGGACAGTCTGGCAGGATGCCCAAGACAGCTAGAAGCACACACAAATGTGGCAACAAGGAGGACAGGAGAAACCAAAAAGACACTACTGTAACATCCGTTTCCTCAGGACAGAGTACACAGGAACAGAATATTCTCTAATACCATTAGTACATCTCACTGCTACTCTCAGTCTTTTAACTTCTAAGAAAAAAACACCCAGCAGTGCCTATATTCTGACTCCAGATGATATTTAAGACTATATCCAATGTAAAAAGCCACAGAGAATTCATTCCCTGGGTGAAGTATGTTCACAATGACCCATACTGCCTTATTGTGAATAGTGCTCCAGAACCTTCAACTCTAGTTAGAGCAGAAAACTTTAAACATAGAAAACAAAACTGGGACATTTATTCACAACTCAAACACAAAGCAGGTAGGGCGACAGACTAAACATAAACACAGCAAGTTCTACCCTAGCCCAACTTCTCCAGGGCTGCATGGTCAAATGGAATCTCAGCAGAGAACATCTGGACAACAGAGGACCCATCAGCGCCATCTCCAGTCTGGACACGTGCTGTGTCTTCGACCACCTCTAGAGAACAGGAGAAGAAGGCAGGGTCCATCAGAGTGACATCCTACAAAGCCGTTGTTCTGTTCTGCTCACATTCCCTTACCAAGATAGTCACTCCTCCCTCCACCTTACCTCGTCTTGCTCTTGGGCAGACCCGGAACAAAACACCAGTCAACGCTGATGGGCTGTCCCATCAAATCCTGGCCATTGAGTCCCTCCATGGCAGCCTGGGCCTCCCTGCATGTTTCATACTCAACCAGAGTATACTCCTAGGGGATGTAAAAAGACATACCAAAATGCTCCTATGTCACCAAGAGTCACTGGGTATCATCTTTCTCATACCTAAACTCAATTTAAATAGGAAAATCTACACACTGAAAAAAATTACCATACGTCATGCAACCCTGTTGTCTACATAATGTATATGTTTCTCTATATTTGCCTATTTGCCATGTCTGAAAAAATCAATTTCCAATATCATTTTACTTCAACTTTTCTACTGGTCAAGCATATCAAATATCAAGTATGCTCCCCTAATTCTATCTAAAGGTTATGCGGAAAGGGAAGCAATGTAATGTCACATACTTTCCACCTGTCTAGGTTGAGGTGGATGTTTTTTATTTCTCCATATTCTGCATATTTACCATGGATGTCTTTGGTAACTTCCTCATGAACTCCAATGACAAAGAGAATCCAGCCTTCAACAGATGTTGGTGGGGCAGTGGGGAAGATGGAGGTGGTTTGAATACAAGGAAAAAAAAAAAACAACTCTAAATAGGACTATGAGAGTAGAGAAACTGCAGACTCTACTGCTTTCTCAGACTATCTCTGACCCCATTCCGACTCGGTTTTACTTTATGGGTCCGAACTGCTTAAGGACACAGATCCCCATAGGTTCACTTCACCAACAGTGTTGTGGTCTGGGTTCATTGCCATCCTGCTCCACGCTGTCGTAATCTTCACGCATCCGCGCTCGGCATCCCTCTTCTGTAAGGAACGCACACCAGATCACCAAGAATTCCTCTTTTCTCCCACGGTTCCCCATGACGCTGGGAGGGGTCTCCAAAACTCGTAGCTCCCGCCGCCCTAGACCACTCCACCCCATCCCAGAAACACTCACCGAAGCCAAAGCCTCGGCCTTTCCGTTTCTTTGCTTTTTCTTTCAATTTGTGGATGCTCTCTGGAACCACAAAAGTAAAGAAAATGAGTAACAAAAACAAATGCCATTTCTAACAACTGACTATTTCTTAAGACAGTATCTAAAGTGCGAATCCAACCGTCTGCTGTCCAACCCCCTTCCGGGTCCCACCACAAGGCCCCCCAAAGGGGGCGGAGCCTCTAATCCCGGTTTCCACTCTCCCTGCCGGGGAGAAGGGAGACTATGCTTTCCTAGTACACCCCTCTCTCGCTCCTCCCCCGCTTCCCGCAGCCGCCTCCACTGTCCTCACCGTCCCTATCTTCATCCATGGCGAAGTCCTCGCTTCCAGCCTCAAGAAAATCGGACACGTCCGCCATTCTGCCTTCGTTGTAGCTCTCATCGCTACCGCTCACGCTCTAGGCACCTCGGAAACTGTCGCGGAGGGGAAAGGTCACCAGTCAAGTTGACCAATCAAAAGCCAACTCTGAGTCCCTTACCCGGCGCAGTGAAAATACGCAAATGGAGGCGGTTCTAGATAGGGAAGATGACGGAAGTGAGGCGGTAGTCATCTTGGGCAGGTCGTGAGGCGCCTGCAGCCGCGTCGTGAGGGTCAAACGCTGGGGAAGTAGGCGGAGTCAGTAACTCCCGCGTGAAGGCGGGCCTAATTTCCTTATTTGAGGATTGCTTTCAGTCGCTTTTCACCCTATCTAGCAGTTGAAGGAGGTTTTTCCTGTCAAAACTTTCAGGTTTATACCCTTTCCTAGGGGCAGTTTGATTTGTGAATTTTTTTTTCTTTTCTTAAATAGTTCAGTCAGCAACGCTGCCTCAAAAAGCTGCTTCTGTAATGCACTGCAGCACGGAATATCTTTCTTGAAGAATCTGACAGATCTTGTTGCTGTTGAAATACGATTGGTGAGACAGGTACCAATATTTTTTTTAAGTTAAACTGCTCCCAAACTCTCCTTACCACCTCTGAGGAGGAGTCATGGCCTTAAACAAAATCAGGTATTTCACGTGTGGAAACCTAGGGTTGAGGCAAAACCCATATTTCCCTGGAATTCTGTAACCAATGTGGGCCTTCAACATGACTGGACTGCAGGCTCATTTATTTACTCATCAAACCATTGAATGCTTGTGCTTATGCCTAATATTAGGGAGGTGCTGGCAATACAAGGACAAATAATTGCATTATCCACAATCATTTCTATTATGAAAGTGGACACTGCTATCAGAGACAAAGTGCTATGACAGTACAAAGAATTTCTAATAGGACACAGGTAAAGGAAGATGAATGTAAGGAATGGCTTTGCATTTGAACTAGGCCTTTAAGGCTGAGTAGTTTTTCAGGCAAAGCAGTTGTATTGAAACTAGGAGACATAATCCACTCTCCTTGGTAGGTAGAGTGATCCTTTTCAAAATCAGTTTTTCAAATGCCTACTAAAAACCCTTCCCTTGGCTTTCGATTGCACTTAGGATAAAATTCAAATTTGCACAGCCTGCTCTGCCATATCTCCAGCCTCTTCCCTTCACCTGTTAAGCTCTTGCTACACTTTCCCTTTACTATGGGCTTGCATGCTTTTTCACATCTCAGGGCGTTTGCACTTTCTGTTCCTGTGCTCTTTGTCTGGCTTTTCACATGCCTGCTCATCTTCATCCTTTAGGCCCAATACTACTCTCACTGAAGGCGTCTTCTCCACCTTCCTATTCTTCGACCTGTTTATTTCCATCACAGAACTTAAATCAGAATCTTAATTACCTAGTTTACTTTCTTAACAAGTCAATTAAAGATTTTGATTTAAGTTCTGTGATGGAAATAAACAGGTCGAAGAATAGGAAGGTGGAGAAGACGCCTTTGGGTGAGAGTAGTGTTTAATGTGTTTTTCCCACTAGAATGTAAGCCTCATAGCAGAGACTCATATTTACAACTGTATCTCCAAAGTTTAGCTCAATGCCTGGCTCGTAGTAGACATTTAATAAGTATTTGTTGAATGGATGAGTATCAGAATGGCAAGAAATTCTGTATGTGATGTTGTATGACTGGGAAATAAAGCTGGAAATACAGTTTAGGGTCAAAATGTATGCCATGCTAAGAATTTTGGAATTTATCCTGTAGGCAAGAAATTCCTTTACTTCAAATATTTAAGAATTCACAATCTTTAATATGTGCAAATAGTCTTTTTACTAAGTATTTTTTACTTAGTATCATACCTTAAGTAGACTGACTTTTTAAACATAAATTTACATTAAATGAAAATTTTAATATCACTACCATAAATGGAAAACCACTATTTTTCTACTAGAAATTACAATAAAAGCATAACTACTAAAACTAAAAAATGTTTGTCTATCTACCATCTAAAATCATCTCAGGTAACACCAAGGATTCACATCTAAGACTTTAGGAAATAGTGCTGAATGTGATGGTAGGTAAGTGATAATTTAAGCAAGGGAGTGACACAGTCACAAGTGTTTTAGAAAGAAATCTGAGGGTAATGTGGAGGGAGTTAAGAATGGAGACAGAGACCAGTTAGGAAGCTATTACAGTGGTCCAGCCAAGAGATCCTAAGGACAGTGATTGGATGACAGTAGGGAAGGTGAGATGAACATGAGGTTTCTAGCTTAGATAACTAGGTAGTTAATGACTCTAATAACAGATCTGGGGAGTCAAAGAGGATCAAGTGTGGAGATGAGTTTTATTTTGGATGTGAATTTAAAGTTCTTGTGGCACATTCAGGTGGTAATGTCCAATAGGTGGAAATATAAAGCTCAAAACAGGTTAGCACAGAAGAAACAGATTTGAGAATATTGTGTATAGTGGAGTTGAAGCCATCATGCAGGTGAGATTGCCAGTGAGAGTGGGTAGAGCTTTTGGAGAAAGGGCCAAGGACAGAACCCAAGCTCCCCATATGTTTAGAAAAGGGAGGAGGGGCTAGGCAGGCTCCCTCTCTCAGCAGTACAATCTTATTTCTACCACCGAAAAAAACTACTAATACATTATTTTTTAGTATATATGTGAGAGAAAGGGTCATTTATTTTGGAACTCTTCTGATACATACCCGTTGCCGTTGAGTCGATTCTGACTCATAGCGACCCTATAGGACAGGGTAGAACTGCTCCATAGGGTTTCCAAGAAGCAGCTGGTGGATTCAAACGGCCAACCTTTGGTTAGCAGCCGTAGCTCTTAACCACTGTGCCAACAGGGCTCCAATAGGTTTCAAGAAAGAGTCAATCTGGCTCACTAGACAAAATTCTATTTTTAATTGTATAAAGTTATACATATAAAGTACATAGAAAATACTGAAACAATAAGAAAAACCTTTAATACCAAATGGACAGATCAGGGAACAATTTTTCTCAAGTTCTTTGGGCCTTACTGGTTGGTATTTCAGAAAAATAGTAAGTCCAGGAAGTCCAAAGAAAAGTTCTTCCCATAAGTCATACCCTTTAACACTTCTTCCCAGATAAAGGAGCGTAGGAGAAACTGGAGGGTTTATCACTTCTGGTTATGAACAGCAATAAAAATAGAATAGACACGCCTATTATTTAATGCAGATTAGGAGCCTCTGCTCCAACCCCACATGTGCTTCATAGAGAGGGGCTTGAAGAATTCAAGGAAGCCCCTTTCAAGCACTAACATAACTGTACCTGGATTCCTTTATATCTGATCACCAAGATGATTTCAAAAGCAAGAAAGCTGCCTTTCTTTCATCTTGCCCATATCTGATCCAAAAGAGCAAATTGAGACCTATCTCCTAATCTATTTCTAAAAGTCTGTATAATTGCTAAATGGAAAGCCCAATTGCAGGAATCTTAAACTTCCCAAGCTCAATTTAGAAAATGCACTGAGCAATATAATATAAAGGAGATCACAGAAGTAAAGGGAAAATATATCTTAGCTAAAAAAATTCTCTAAAAGGAGAATGTCCCAGGAGAGAGGTGGGGGAACATCACAGTAGTAAAACACAACTAGCTGATCGTCGATTCTCTTTCCCCTCCTGCAGTCTCCCAAGGTTCCAATTAGGAAATGTAATACCAAAGTCTCATCTAACTTTCCTGATCAACTCATGCTCTAATAATCAATGTGGAGGAAGAGTAAAACATTGAAAACAAATGAGAATCTAAGGTACGTACATCTAAGGTAGTAAATAGCAGCAACTTGGAGGGAGTGAGAGGAACGTGACCCTTACCAAATAGGACAGATAATGTTTCCAAAGAGTAAAATGATGAGAGGAGAGGGAGAAGGAAGAACTAAATACAGGGCTTGATTAAGGTGGGTGAGCAGTGGAGGAGGAGTGAAAAGGGAACATTTCAAGATTAAGCAACTTTAACCCTGTGTCCCTTCTGTAGTGTGGCGTGTACCCGGGAATCTGGAGTACTGATACGGTATAGATACACCTTGGGGGCGACCTAGATGGTAAAGCCCCATGAATTATGTTTATAATTCCTCTTTTTTTCTGTGAAATTTCTCAGAGTAATTTTAAAATAAACCAGATAGTAAGGCAAGCCTCAATAATAATGAAGCCTAAAAATAAAGTAGCATTTGGAGGCAGGGAAGGAGTAGGGTAGTAGTGGTGGTAGTGGTGGGGTCTAGGCTGGGAAAGATCTAATTACTGGAGGAACAGTTTGGTACCAAGCCAAGCAGGTCTAGCTCGAGATAAAGCCAAAGGCTTCATACTCATACCCTGTTTGAATCCAAAAGAAAGCAAGAATAAGCATGAGGGCAGGGCACATGCTCCTTATTCTAGTGACCTGTCCTTTTAAAAGATGGAGATGTAAACACTTAGTCATTTTGTGCTACTGAAATGACTATACAGAGTTAATCTGGGAGCCAGCAAAGCCCCCAAGACAGCCTTCTTGTAAATTGGAGTGGGGATGTTTCAAATGAAACTACATCCAAAAGCTGGAAATAAGACATGAGATTTTTTAGCAAATAGGAATCCAGGTGTAGAATTTATACATACGTTTTATATATATACATATATATGTATACATATATATGTATTTGAAAGTATAAAATTGAGAAAGTACATATAGAAATCATCTTAAGTCTTAGAAAGGAGACATATAAAAAAGGATCAGGAGAGGATGGGATGTATGGGGGTGGAGGCCTAGCAGTTGGAAGAATGCATATTGCCCAACTGCCCAGCAGCCAGCATGAGAATATCTTTCTTCTCCTTGTGGAAGCGCAGCTCCTTGCCTGCCAGCCGGGCTTCATCCAGCTCTCGCTCAGTGGAGGCCAGCTCTCTAGACAGTGCCCCTGGCACACTCTGCTCCCGGCTCACCCAGTCCAATGCCATTTGGTGGCGAATATCATCATCCAGGGCTCGGTGTGAATAATGCGCCAACACCTCCTGGTAGGGGAGGGGAACGTGAAGGTCACTGACAAGGTAAAGGTTCATATCACATTGATCAACTGGGACTAGGAACTCTTTGCCTTGGAGTCTTAACTGACGTCAGCACCTAAAGCCTTGTTAAGTTGATTCTTAAGGGGGATTTCTCAGTGCGGGAAGCAAGGCAGGCAAAAAGAATCACAGATAAGATTTGAGTAGGAAAGATCATAGGAGTGAAAACAGTGCTTAAATAAGGCTTCCAAAATCTACAACGTGGTAACCATAGGCCTGCATATTTCTAACACAGCAGCCACCTCAAAATAGTCCTCTACGAGACTCCCCCACCCATAAAATCTCCTTACCTGTCGAGAGCACTGTCTTTCTCTCATGGCCTTAAGGCTGCCATTCCAGTGCAGCAGTTGGAAAACTGTCATTAGCTCCTGAGGAAGAAGATATGAAGTGCCAGGACAGTGATTTTAAAGTGGGAAGATGCATAAGAATTATATGGGGAGCCTTTTACAAAATGTATTTGTGAAAGCATTTCTCATTACCAATTCTGATATGCCCTTCGGAGAAGGAACATATTTATAACCTTCTCTCCTTCCTTCCCAATTGAGTTTCAGTGAATTAGGGATTAGTAGGAGGCATTAACCATTTCTCTGATTGGGAATACCAGACCTTAACTTTAAAATAGAGGAACTATGGAGACTACATGTTTTTAAAAATCCTCATTAAAATCAGAAGGCACCTATTGTTGAGCAAAGACAGATTGCTTAGATGGAATGCTGTTTACCTTTGAAAAGTATCAGGCAGTGAAAATGAGACTGAATGAAAAGTTTTCTAGACGGACAAATTTAAAGAGGAGTCGGAATGGTTTACTGTTCCAATGAGACCCAGTCCCAGGGAGAACCAATGCAGAAAGTAAATGAATTTTTTAAAATGCATTTATCTAGTGCTTTATTGATTATAAAGTATTTTTATGCAAGCAGTTCTGAATAGTGTTATGGCCTGTGAGGTTACCCATCTAAGGAAAACAGGGAACTAAAGGGAATGGGAAGAATGGCTTAATTAGGGGAAAAGAGTACAGGCCATGGAAGCAGGCTGACCCAGGTTATTAGAGCCAGAGAAGTAGGTGGAACAGTACCTGGAACTCCAACATTGACTTGCCCTTGTTGGATTCCAACATGAATCGGAAAGCACCAATCCCTGTGTTTGGGTTGTCAGCCTCCTCCTTGTTGCCCTGGTAACAGAGGAAAGGAAAAGACAAATAGGTTTTCAATCAGGACTTTTATTACCTAAAGCAGTGATGTCCAATCAAAATATGATGCAAGTTGCATATTTTTTTCTTTCTTTTTTTTTTATTGTACTTTAGATGAAGGTTTACAAAACAAACTAGTTTTTCATTAAACAATTAATATACATATTGTTTTGTGACATTGGTTGTCAACCCCACAACATGTTGACACTCTCCCCTTCTCGACCTTGGGTTCCCCATTACCAGCTTTCCTGTCCCCTCCTGCCTTCTCATCCTTGCCCCTGTGTTGGTGTGCCCACTTAGTCTCATTTTGTTTTATGGGCCTGTCTAATCTTTGGCTAAAGGGTGAACCTCAGGAGTGACTTCATTACTGAGCTACAAAGGTATCCAGGGGCCATACTCTTGGGGTTTCTCAAGTCTCTGTCAGACCAGTAAGTCTGGTCTTTTTTTTTTTTCTTTCTGTGAGTTAGAATTTTGTTCTACATTTTTCTCGAGCTCTGTCTGGGACCCTCTATTGTGATCCCCATCAGAACAGTTGGTGGTGGTAGCTGGGCACCATCTAGTTGTGCTGGACTCAGTCTAGTGGAGGCTGTAGTACTTGTGGTACAAGCTGCATATTTAAGTTTTCTGGTAGCCACATTCAAGTAAAAATAAATAGGTAAAATTAACAGTATATTTTTTCCTTTTTTAAAATATTTTTATTTTTTTATTGTTGTAGTTTAAATGAAGTTTACATTTCAAGTTAGTCTCCATACAAAAATTTATACATACATTGTTATGTGACCTTAGTTGCTCTCTGCATACTGTGACAGCACACTCCTCTTTTCCACCCCTGATTCCCCATGTCCATTCAACCAGCTCCCAACGCTTTCTGCCTTCCCATCTCACCTCTGGACAGGAGCTGCTCATTTAGTCTCTTGTATCTACTTCAGCTATGAGGCACACTCCTCATGAGTATCACTTTATGTCCCACAGTCCAGTCCAATCCCTGTCTGAAGAGTTGGCCTCAGAAATTGTTTTAGTTCTGGGCTGATAGAGAATCCAGGAGCCATGCTTTCCGAGGATCCTCCAGTCTCAGTCAGACCATTAAGTCTGGTCTTCTTACTAGAATTTGAGTTCTGCACCCCACCTTTCTC